GGGAGGCTGAGGAAGGAGGATTGTGAGTTCAAAGCCAGCCTCAACAATTTGGCAAGATCCTGTCTCAAAAAAAAAAAAAGAAAGAAAAGAAAATACAAAAAAAAAGGGCTGGGGATGTGGCTCAGTGGCTAAGCACCCCGGGTTCAATCTCTGGTACCAAAAAAAAAAAAAAAAAGGAGCAAACCAATAGTCCCTTATGATGTACATATGTGTAATTTTTGGTGCTGGGGTTGGAACCGGGTCTCATGCTTGCTAAGCAGAAGCTCCACCGTGGAGCCACACCCCCCACCCCAAGGAGATACTCTCAAGAAAGCAAGGCGCAGTGCAGGCTTAGCACAGGGCATTCATAAACGCCATCTCTCCACCTACCCCTCTGTTCCCCCTGAGGCACAACCCAAAGGACTGTACACAGAGTCTGAAAAAGGCTCCTGCTCTTCCCTCATTCCCTCCCACCTTCCCTCTCTCACTTTGTAAAAATGGGACCTTGAATTTATACAGATTTATGTTTCAAAGTGTTTCCTTAGCCACACCTCTGGAGATCCTCCTGACAACCTTCAAGGTAACCAGGACCTCTTTGTTCCCTCATCACAGTTGAGATAGACGGGAAATGGAGCCCCTGAGGCAGCCACAGTTGGCCAAGGAGCCCACACTCTGCCTCCTATCTTTTTTTTTTTTTTTGATACCAGGGATTGCACTCAGGGGCACTCGACCACTGAGCCACATCCCCAGCCCTATTTTGTATTTTATTTAGAGACAGGGTCTCACTGAGTTGCTTAGGGCCTTGCAGTTGCTGAGGCTGGCTTTGAACTCCGTGATCCTCCTGCCTCAGCCCCTTGAGCCGCTGGGATTACAGGTGTGGACCATCCTGCCAGGCGAAATCTTCTGTTTATCGTGTGGATTTTCACATATTATCTTTGGAAGTGGAGGCCAGAGGACCTAAGCTCAGGATTACCTTTTGGGAACCAAAACAGTGGGAAGCAAAGTGGCCAGGGACCACCCCTCAGTCTACTCAGTCCCCTGAACATTAGTTACCAGGCTTTGGGCTGCCGGGATGGCTCAAGGCAGAGCAGGTGCTCCTAGGTACACTGCACGCATACACACACACACACACACACACACACACACACAGCCTTAGGACTGGAGGCTGACACTGCAATTCAGGGTAGGGGCAAATTCCATCTGCAGGCCAGCATGGAGCTGAGGGGGGGGGTTGAAAGGTTAAAGGGCACTGCTCTTCCTGAGATTCCAGCATCTACTCTGCCTCTTGATATCTGAGAACACCTTGAAGGAGCCAGGGTGCACCTCAGTTTCCTCATTTATGACCGGAAGACTAGATTAGATAACTTCTCAGCTGCCCTCTGATAATCTGAAAGGGATCTGCATCTGCATGAGGATGACCGTGACTCATCATGGAGAATATTTATTTTTTTATTCATTTATCTGGCACTGGGGGTTGAACCCAGAGGCGCTCTATACACCCAAACTACAACCCCAAGCTCTTTTTATTTTATTTATCTTTATTTTATTTTGTTTTTGCGGTACAGGGGACCAAATCCAAGAGAGCTTTACCACTAGGCCACATCTCCTGCTCTAAGATCTTGCTGAATTGCCTGCGGGATAATTTTGAAAACATTCTGTTGTTGTTGTTATGGAAATTTCCCCCAAATTCAGTTAACAAGACAATATAATGAGCCAGGCATGGTAGTATAGGGACTTGGGAGGCTGAGGCAGGAGGATCACAAATTTGAGGCTGCAAGTTCAAGGACGGCCTCAGCAATTTAGTGAAACCCTGTCTCAAAAAAAAAAAGAAAGAAAGAAAAGGCCTGGGGATGTAGCTCAATGGTAAAGTACCCCTGAGTTCAATCCCCAGTAGCAAAAGGAACAAAGAAAACCACAGTGTAAAAGGAGTGTACTGCACATCCATGTTTTCATTGCCCAATTTCAGTGATCATCATTCTGACTTTTTCTGTTTCATTTCTACCGCCACCTGCTCACCCACTTGACTTTTTTTTTTAATTGTTATTATTAGTGGTGCTGAGGATTGAATCCAGGGTCTTAGAAATGCTAGTCTAGTTAGTTCTCTTCTACTACTAAGCTATACCTCTTCTACTACTAAGCTCTTTTTATTTTGTGTTGAGATCGGGTCTCACTAAATTGCATCATCGGCTGCTTTGAATTTCCAGTCCTGGGATGACAGGAGTGCCTACAGCGCCTGACTAGTTTTCTCTTTGGTATCAGGGATTGAGCCACATCCCAGCCCTTATTATTTTTTTCATTTTGAGACAGGGTGTAGCTAAGTTGTTGAGGTCCTCACTAAATTGCTGAGGCTGGCCTCGAACTTGCAATCTTCTTGCCTCAGCCTCACCAAATTGTTAGGATTCAGGCAATGCGCTACCGCCCCCTGCTAAGATCTAAAGCCTTGAACTGTTTCCCTCCCTCCTTCCTCTCCCTCTTTCTCTTTTTGTTACTGGGAATTGAATCCAGGGGCGCTTTACTACTGAGCTACCTCTCCAGTTCTTTTTATTTTTTATTTTGAGACAGGATCTTGCCAAAATTGACGATCCTCCTGTCTCAGCCTCTCGAGTAGCGGGGATTCCAAGCGTGTGCCACCACACCCAGCTAATATTTTTCTTTCTGACCCTCTCCTCTTCTGCCATCTTTGTGGGTCCCTGGAGCATATGGCTTTCTGTTGCATGTGCTTCTGTTCTGAGGCTCTTACTCACCCTGGCTGCGAATCCCTAGAAGCCTGCTCGCCTCTTTCCTATGTACTCACTCTTCTCTGGGGTTTTCCCTCTTGTTCTTTCTGGCCTCTCTTTCCTACAACTGTTTCCCCGTACCTCCTGTTTTCTCCTTTAGATGCTACTTTTCTTTGTTCGCCCATCTTCTCTGACCTGACTGCCCTGTCTTTTTGGTGTGCTGATGCCCTGGCCACCAGGTGCTGAGCCAAAACCCCAGGGTCCAGCCCACGGCCAGGCAGTCAGTCAACAGTGAGCAAAGTCAGAGCACTGGATGCCCTAAACCACCCGGGGTCTGGCAGAGGAATGGGGTCCACCAAGGATCTGGTCTTTGAGAACCACATCCTTCTCTCTTCTTCAAGCAAGAAGCTATTTATCTGCCCCCTTGGAAGCTCCAGCATTTGAAAGGAAGGAGGCTGATTTCCTGGCAAAAATGTGACCCAAAGGACCATCCTCCTCCCACTTCTCAACGTTAAAAAAAAAAAAAAAGGGAGTCAGCTAGGCTATCAGGGATGCTTCCTGTTTTCCTCTCTTGAAAGCATCCTGGATAGATGAAACTGAGGGATCAAAGGGACTGCCTGCCTCTGGGGCCTGGGGACCAGCTGAGTGGCTTTTAACCCTCTGTTGTCTCCCCTGTGTGGATGGGATAGGTAGTCAGAGTCTCTTCCAAGAGAAGTTTAACTCCTTTAAGGCCATTTGTTCATTGAATGGTAGGCTGTCCAGTGCTGGGGATCAAACCCAGGGCCTTGTGCATGTGCGGCAAGCTCTCTACCAACTGAGCCATAGCCCCAGCCCCCCAAGTGCTGGGTTTTATTCGAAGATCTGGGGATGCAGAAATGAATGGGACGAGGCCCCTGCTCTCGTGCTCCTAAATAAACAGTCATGACTCCACGTGCCAAGGGGACTTTCTCCGTGTCAGGCGCTCACCACAGGCCTTCCACGCACTGAATCCGGAAAGGTGTGTTATTATCTCCACCTAACGACGAGGAGAGCCAGGCTAATGAAGGTGAAATAACCTGCCACAGGCACAAGAGCGGCAGGTGTCCGGGCTGGGGTAGAGCCCAGCAGGCTGACAGCTGGAGCCATTTTCTTAACTGATACCCTAGCCCTTGGAGACCCGCCTTCCTGCCTGAACGTTAGTGACTCATTGATCGTAATTTTTACAAATGCAGTTTATCTCTGGGCTTGGTCAGGTGGCTTTTGACGAACAGGTTTGTTGACATCTTACTGTACCATGCTGTACTAGAGCAGAGGTGGCTCAGCCTGCAGCCCCCTGAAGACTTTCAAGGCTGCAGAAACCCAGGGCCACATTTGGCCTCACCAGAGGGCCAGAGAATCAGCTCTTGCTTCCCCTCTCCCTTTTCTGGAATGGATGATACCCCAGATTTGTTTTGGTTTGCAAAACAAATACCAGACCAGTGGCTGATAGGCGAGGAACCAAGAGGACACCTCATGGGGAATGACCCTGGGGCCTTGCTAGATCAGCTTTTATATCTTTGCAATGATAAATGCTATTTTCTTCTTTTTTTTCCCCCCCTCTGGGTAGAAATTGAGACTCAGAGCTGTTAGTTAACATCTCCCAAATCACACAGCTCGTCAGAGCCAGGATGATCCTAAGTTTGTAAAACTCCAAAACCCACACTTTAATCACAGTTGCCTCCTGGATGCTAAACTTGGCAGAATGAGGAAGAAACTCCCTTCCTGCGGAGGTTCCTGACAAACCTTAAGTGGCAGGTGAGGGTCGCAGACAACCTTGGGGGTCTGTTGGGTAGGGACGCCTGGCACAATGGATGGCAAGGCGCTCTGGACTCACTATCTCTTTAAGACCCGGGGCTCCCTCGATGCCAAGCCTGCTCTTTTGCTCCGAGGTTCCAGGGGTGGGGAGCCGGACTGAACATGCTGACATACAAGTAAAAATCCACCTCAGCACTTTCGCCTCGCCTCGGTGGCTCTGCCCCCCCCGCCCCCAGCTCTCATTTATTTATTACTATGCTATTCCGCGGCCCTGCCCCTGTGTCAATACTGATAAAAGCAAATCGCCCCACAAACAGGTGCAGCTGGGAGCTGCCCCTTGGACAGCTGCCAGGGAAATGTGATCGCTCAGCTGGGGTGACCTGCCCCTGCCCAACCCCCTCTCGGGTTCCAGCTCCGAGCATGTGTCCTTGGGCGGTGGATGTCGTCCGCCTGTCTGAGCCCTGGTATCTGGGTTGGCATCGTGGGCTCCCGCGGGTGCTGGGTGGGGTGGGGTGGGCGTGCGCAGGAGCGGGGACGCCGGGTTTCCGTGTGTTTTCTCTTTCGATTTCTTCCCACAAATTCAGAGAATATTCTGTCCCCAAGTCCCCTGTTCAGTATTTCGGAGTATTGCCTAAGCCCATCACCGCCTGCTATTTCTAGGTAAGAAATCCTTCTTGCCTGCCCATTTCCAAAGTCGAACGCAGGTTTGCGGTGGAATGGTCCAGAGGCATTTTCTGGGTCCCCCCCCCCCACCCTCGGGCTTCGCTGTGAGTTTGCCTAAATAAACAGTCCGCGAGCCGGACCCCCATCCCGAATGCGTCTGGGGGCTCCGCCGCCCGGTGACTGTGACTCTGGTTTGGGAAAGCTGGTATTTCAGTCCCCTCCCCCAGCTCCGAGTGGGTCCCCAGCATCCCTCCCCGCTTCCCCAGGGCACCAGCCTCTCCGGCGTGCAGCCTGCGCTCCCGGTGGACACGGCGGCGACCAGGGCGTGCGGAGCCGCAGGGCGGGGCGAGGCGAGGCCGAGGGGCTGGGGCGCGGGGCCCCTGGTCGCAGAGGAGCGCGCAGCTCGGGGAGGGACGAGGTTGCTATGCAAATGGCTCCGCGGCCTGCGGCCCCCCTTACCCAGGGGCCCTGCGGTTGCCAAAACAGACCATTCCCCAGAACAGTCGCCTAGAAACGCGCGCCGTCATAGCAGCCTCTGGGTAGCAGCGAGCCCGCCTGTGCCAGGAGGAGCCGGTCAGGATGCGCAGACCTCCGGCAACCCCTCCCCAGCCAGCCTCCACCTCGGGGAAGGGCGTGGTGGCTCGGTCCCCCATCCAGGAGGGAGGGGGCACTAATTGGATTGGAAACCTCCAGAAACCCATCAGCTGCTCCTCCCTGCGGGAGGGGGAGGAGGAGGGCTGCGGATTGTCTTTGTGACGGGTCTCCGCCTCTCCCGCCCTACAGCCTGCCCTAACCTGGTGTTTTCCGGACCCTGTCCACCCATCCTCGGTCTAGGACACAATGACAAGTGCCTTTTCGACTAGAGGTAGCAGATGTGGGTCAGATCGTCACCCACATGGAATTCAGCAATAATTAGCAAAGTGATGCTACAAGATCTCACCTGGTTGGGAGAGACTGGCTGGGGGCTGGGGGCAGAATGCAGCTTTGCCCTGGTCACAAATCATGCCTTATCCACTTCACCCCTCAACGACCCCACTTTTTAATGAATGAATTAATTAAATTCTTTTGGTAGTGGGGATTGAACCCAGGGGTGCTCTAAATCTGAGCTATATTGCTACCTCCCCAGCTCTTTTTGTTTTTTAAGACAGAATTTCAGTCTGACAGAGGTGACACAGGCCTGCAATCCCAGCACACACGAAGCTGAAGCAGGAGGACTGCAAATTTGAGGCCAGCCTCAGCAGTTTAGTAAGACCTTGTCAAAAAAAAAAAAAAAAAAAAAAAAGACTGGGGATGGAGCTCAGTGGTAAAGTACCCCTGAGTTCAAACCCCAGTACCAAAAACAAAAACAAAAACAAAAGGCAGAGTTAGCTATACTGCTGAGGCTGGCCTTGAATTTGCCATCCTCCTGCCTCAGCCTCTGGAGTTGCTGGGATTACAGGCCTGTGCCACCCCATCCCTCCTCCCTTTTTAGCAGCCTCTGTTCCTTAGCTTGCTATGAATCTGACCCTTCCCTAATCCTTGGAAACACATTTTCCCACTTCATCTGGAACCAAGAGATCTGCCGTGACATTTAACTGTGTGTATCTTGCTTCTTACCAATTAATGTACAATATAAACTTCCAAAAGGCAGAGCCCATATTATAAGTCTGTGATGGCTCATCCTGACCTTAAAGAACAAAACAGATTTTAACATATGCACTTGAATTGGGGTGACAGTGACCTTCATCAACATGGACATCCTGGGAAGCCTCTATTGTGCCTTCCCAGTGAGAGTAAAACCTCATCAAACACTTCCTGGGATTGGGGAGGGAAGAGATTCCAGACAGCCTGAGTGACTGTAAGCCAACTGGTGGGCTACAGAGCAACTACTTGGGACACAGAGTTATTTTTTGGTGTGTGTGTGTGTGTGTGTACCAGGGATTGAACCCAGAGGTGCTTTACCATCCTCAGCCACTTTATTCTTTGAGACAGTGTCTCACTAAGTTGCTTAGGGCCTTGCTAAATTGCTGAGACTGTCCTCAAATTTGTGATCCTCCTGCCTCAGCCTCCCAAACTGCTGGGATTACAGGCATGAGCCCCTGCGCCTGGTGGCACTGAACCTTTTGCATGGTCCACATGCTGCAGGCCAGCAGGCAGAGGTGTCTGGAGAGCACTCGCGGTGGGGAGGGAGGACGGCTCTGTGCTTCCCTGCAGGGAGAGGGAGTCCCCTTCCTCCATAATCCACACCAACTCAAAGAGCAAACCTCCGAATGGCCTGTAAATCTGCACTGTCTCCCCGCTGCTCCCTCTCCCCTTTCTTGCTGGAGTGTGGAGTTCCTACTGTGTTCCAGGCGCTGAGCTGGGCAACACAGTCACAGAATGGTTAAGTCATATCATTCCATATTTGTAAGAAGGAAAAAAAAAATCTGTAGTACAGGGGACATTTGCCATGCCTTATGATCACCAGCACCTTTCCTGTTTATGGGTTTTCCCCACACCATAAATCCCACTTCCCCAAAGTAAAGGACAGAAATGTCCTCTCCCACACACTGCAGCAGCGACGGTGTAGGCGGGTGACCTAGGTTCCACCAGTCAGATGCATCCATGTGAGACTGATTTGGAAAAGAGCCACAGTGATGCAGGCTTCGTGGAAAGAGGAGCCCAAGGCAGCATCTTTAAAGCCACAGGAGCCATACGGGGAAAATTCTGGAGTTTAATTTCCACCATGTTTGTTGGTGAGAGGGATGAGGTAAGTTCCAGAGTTTTAGCTGAGAGGTGGCTGCATTTTTTCCCCCTGGTACTGGGGATTGAACCAGGTCTCTACCATTGGGCTCCATCTCAGCCCTTTTTTATTTTAATTTGAAACAGGGTCTTGCTAGGCTGGACTTGAACTTGTGATCCTCCTGCCTCAGCCTCCCAAAAGGCTGGGATTGTCAGGGAACTCCATGACACCTGGCCAGCCATAGATTTCTGTCAGAGTGGATTCTGTCATCTGAAATAGAGCACTCTGATGCAGACAGAGAGCTGGACGATGGCAGTTGGATCGGTAGGTGGGGGGGTGCATGAGCAAATAGAAGGTTGGACGGATGGGTGGGTAGGTGGACATCCACATACTGACTGGCTTTTCTGGGGAAATGGGATTATAGATTATAGATTTTTTTCCCTCTGATTAATTTCTTCCTTTTCTTTTATTTCTTGGGGGGGGGGAGTACTGGGGATTGAACCCAGGGGTGTTCTACCACTGAGCTGCATTTATTTTGAGACGGTTTCACTACATTGCTGAGGCTGGCCTCAAACTCCTGATCCTCCTGCCTCAGCCTCTCCAGTAGCTAGATTATAGGTGTGCGCCCCCAGCTCCTTCCCGCATTTTCTCTTCTCTTTTAGGGGAAGCATGTTATTTGTCTAATAATAAAAAAGTTACCAGAAACCCAGACCTGTAATTGCTCATTCAGGTGGAGGTCAGTTCAGGGCAGCTAGAAGCCAACTCTGAACACAAGGTTCCATTTTGACAGTTCTGGGGATGGAAGGCAGGTCTTCGTGTGCGTTAGGCAAGCACTTACCATCCTCCATCCTGAACACGGGGCCCTCAACCAGGAGCAGCCCAAGGGGCTCTGGGCTCTAGACTTTCCCACTCTCTCACCACACCAGTCCTGACCGGCAACCCAAGCCCTTCCTCCCTCTCTCCATCCTCTGAACCCCACAGCATGGCCCCACCCGCCAGAAACACATGCCAGGCTCCTTGTGACATGGTTCCTATTGTTACCCAACAATCCCATTTCACCTTGAGCAAGGATGACATGCACATTGTGACTCATCTCATATGTTCTGCCCTCTCCCTGCGGCACTGACCGTCCCTCAGCTGCCGTGGGCCACGCAGGGCCTGGTTCCGCAGCTCTTTTTCACGCGGGCATGTCCCATTGCCGGCAGAGACCCTCAGCCCTGGGATTTCAACAGATCCCTTTGTTCCCTGCAGCTTTATAGAAGTCAGGCTTTGTTTCTAGATGACGGGGATCATATTGTTTATTTTTACGTCGATGATTTTCTCCCTAATGAAAGCATAAGATTTTGTAGGCGGGGTCCCTTTGTGCAGTTGGTCAGCATTTAATGAGTGTCAATGGCGGGCCAGTCTGTGTGTTGGTTGCTGGGGTCAGGAGGAAATAGGGACAAACCCTGGTCCCTTCCAACGTGTTAGAGTTTAATAGCAAGAAAGACATACTTTTAAATAAATGGAGAAGTGCTCTGATAGCTCTGTGTTCAGGATAGAGAAGGGAGTGGTTGGTTGGGACAGAAAAGTCCTTTTTATTTATTTAGCAGTACTAGGGATTAAACCCAGGGTGCTCTACCACCGCTACACTCTCAGTCCCTTTTGTGTTTTGAGACAGGGTCTTGCCACGTTGCAGAGGGTCTCACTAAATTGCTGAGGCTGGCGTCCATCTATCTTCCTGCGTGAGTCAAGTCGTTGGATTGTAGGTGTGCACCACTGCACCCCACTAAAAGTCTTTTTTTTTTTTTAAACCTGGTACAGAGAAGCACGCTTGTAACTCTAACTACTTGGGAAGCTGAGGCAGAAGGATTGCAAGTTCAAAATATTTTTTTTTTTTGATACCAGATGTTAAACCTAAGGACACTCCATCACTGAGCCACATCCCCAGCCCTTTTCTATGTTTTATTTTGAGATAGGGTCTTGCTAAGTTTCTAGAGCCTCGCTAAATGGCTGAGGCTGGCTTTGAACTTGTGATTCTCCTGCCTCCACCTCACAGACTGCTGGGATTGTAGGCATGTGCTACTGTGAATTTAAGTGCTCTTTTCTCCCATGTCCTGGACTGACTTTGGAGATGTCCCCGTCTCTGAACCACTCTGGCAGGATGGTCTCAGCCAGTTGTTACCTGTGCATGGGCTGCTAAGTTATTGCAAGAAGTCGCTGTGTCTATTTGCACACCAAATACCGTCTGCCGCCTGTGTAAGTAATGTCTGGAGGAGGAGGGCTGCTCCTTTTCAGCCGTGCTAAAGCCCTTGTTTTTCATCACTCTGAATTTTCCCAGTTGACCAAATCCTAAAATAACTGCTCTGCTCATTTGCAGGATTGCGACCATTTCCAGAAGGAAGCAGGACTCCTCTTGTCGGAGCAGGTTGGAAGCCACTGAGTTGGGCTGTCAAGCCAGTGTGTCATTTCCCTTGGGCCCAGGGGTGTCATGAGACCCGAGGTCAAGTTTCAGCTCCTCCCGGGGATGGCTAGATGATCTTGGGGGCAGCCCCTCGTGACTTGGAGAGCTTTGGTTTCCTCATCCTGGAGCAGAGATTGTGAAAATTATTTGTCAGGATTGTCAACAAGATTAGATGAGATAATGAGAGGACTTTGAAAACTGGGAAGTGATGCTCAGGGGTAAGGGTGGTTCCTTGTCTTCTGCTTACACATGCTATGGATTGAAGGTCAGGGAAGGTGTCTTCGGTTTTCTTCTTCAGTCCTCCTAATGATACCCACTCATTCCTGTCACCTCCTGTATTCAACCAGGATTGGACGTAGAGAAGACCTCAGAAAAACACAGCAAAATGACCTGCACAGGGACTTAGCAAGTAGCATCCGGGGCATGCACGTGCCGTCTGCGGTGGGAGAGGCAGGGCTGTGCTGTGGTTCCAGTGTGGGCCTGGGTAGCCACGTTAGCAAGTGTGACCTTGGTCAAGATGAGCACTAATGTCCTCATCTATCACAGTGGTCAGTGATCATTGGAGTAGTTCAGGAAGCTGTTGGGAGAACTGAAGGGGTTTGTTTGGTCTATGTGTCAGGCCAGGAGCAAATCACTCTGTTAGCATCAGTAGTTGTTACTATTTTACTATTCTATGCTGAGTGATTCTTCAAACTGGAAATGGGAGATTTGGCTTCTGGTTTCGTTTTGTTTTTGCACTACTAGGTAGGTTGCTGGGGATCTTTCTGCCTCAACCTCCAGAGTTGCTGGGATTACAGGCAAGTGCTACACCATCGGACTTCTGGTTTTGTTAAGAATTATCCAAGCTGGGCTTAGTGGTGCACATCTGTCATCCCAGCGACTCAGGAGGCTGAATCAGAGGATCACAAGTGTGAGGCCAGCCTCAGCAACTTTGTGAGGCCCTAAGCAACTTATGGAAACTGTCTCAAAATAAAATATAAAACAGGCTGGGGATGTGGCTCTGTGGTTTAGTACCCCTGAGTTCAATCCCTGGTAGCCCCCCCATCCACCCACCAAAAGAAAAAAAGATTTGTCAGAGTCATCAAAGATGGTAAGATGCTCAGGCCAGCCCTTAAGGTCAGCACAAAGAAGGTAGCAGTAAATATGCTGGACACCATTGCCCTTGGCCGTGGGCTAGATTCCTAGGTTACAAATTGTTGAGTAAGAGGTGTGCATATTTAACATCTTGGACAAATATCACAACTGTCCAACATGCAGATGATCCTGTTTGCACTGCCTGGCCACAGGCTGAGAATAACTGTTTCTCCCCACCGCCTTCTCCCAACCCATATTTTAAACTTAAATTTCATTAATTTTGATTGGGTAACATTTTCAGATCGCACAAAATTCACAAAAGGTCAGGAAAGAGCCTACAGTGAGACATTACCCCCTGTCACAATCATTCACATACCTCCCCAGGAACACAAACTTTGTTATCAGTCCATCTGATAAAGGGAAAATGGTATCTCACTAAATGAATCTCTGTTATTTTGATGTGAAAATCAGTGTATATCATGGAGTAAAATGTTGCATTTGAATGAACTTTAAGATAAAACAGGAGACTTTAAAGGCATTTTATGCTCAGGGGTGGGGCCACTTGGGCACTGCTCCTGGCTCTCTGTCTCTTGCCTTCTCTTGGCAGAAAAATTTGTACAGTTTTTTTGTTTGTTTGTTTTTTGTTTTTTTGGAACTGGGTATTGAATCCAGGGGCACTTAACCACTCAGCCACATCCCCAGCCCTTTTTTTGTATTTTATTTAGAGACAGGGTCTCACTGAATTGCTTAGGGCCTTGCTAAATTGTTGAAGCTGGCTTTGAATTCAGGATCCTCCTGCCTCGGCCTCCTGAGCTGCTGGGATTATACAGGTGTGTGCCCCTGGGCCGGACTTTGGTACAGTTCTGAGTCAATAAAGTGAAAGTTTCAAGATGCCCCACTCTTCTTCATCCTAGTCACTTGTTTACAATTCATCTCTCATGGCTCTTCTTGCCCTTGAGTGGGTCACTACCTTGAACTTGACCTTGAACCAGTCATCTCTCACTCTGGGCTCCAATGTTTTGACTTGTAAAAAAAAAAAAAAAGTGGGCCTGAGTAGAGCCATTCCAGGTTTAACATTCCAGGACTGATCAACGAATTCCCATTAAGCTGTAGATGACTGATAACAGCTTAATGTGTGACCTCTCCTGTGGGTGGAGGCATTTTAAGAGATGCAGTTTCTCATCTCAAAAGAATGAATGTGCACGGTTGCAATTTCTGGCATGGTCACTGGTGGGTGGGGACAGTGTGTGTGTGTGGGGTGCCTTTCCTGGAACACCTCCAGTGGTCACCGCGGGGGGGCCCTGCCTGCCCCAGCCAGGGGTGGTGCACCCTGAGGGACCACCCTGCTGGTTTTCCTGGAGAACCCCCACTATCCTCTTTTCTCTCTCCCGCTGTGGCTGTGGCCGGGAGTGGGGTTTGTCATACAGAAAATGCCTCATCAGGGAAACTCGTGTGTGGCCTGGAAAAAACCACCCTGTGCCCTGGGGCGAGGGGCGCGGTGG